AGGGTTTAAGGGTTTAGGGTTAAGTCTGCTTTCAGGGATTCAGGGTTTAGGGTTTAGTAGAGATGAGGGCTTGAGTTTAGGGTTTCGTCTACATCACAAGTTATTGTAACCCTAAATGCCTAAACCTAAATCCTACACCCTAAACTTCCTAAACCTTCTTGTGAACCTCATCCTACAATGTTACAACCTCCTCTTCCATAGTCTGCGGCAGGCAAGGGGCTGGAGCGAAGTGCCAGGCCGAAAACGGATGCCCTGAGCCACCTCAGACGTGTATGTGTTTTGCGGGGTTGGGGGCCTGCAGGGCTTCGGGCTTTAGGGTTTAGGTTTTAGGGTGCAGGGTTTAGGGTCCAGTAGAGACAGGCCTCGGCAGCAACGACCCAAACAAAAAAAGAAGACATCTTCCGATGCTACGGACCCTGCAAAAATAAACTAAATAGACACCAGCATCATGACTGTCACCATCGTCATTCCCAAAGCATCACGACCCTCATGCTCATCATCCGGGACGACATCATCCCGACAATATGATGTCCATCGTTACCGAAGTTGCCAATATAATCCCGTCGCCAGCACCTTCTCTGTCAGCATCCACCTCCTCCTCATCATCAACACAGGCATCGTTGTCGTCTGTTTCTGACTTCATCAACCTATACCATTAGTCAATGGCAAACATGTGTTCAGCAGTACCGAGGAGTGTAGACTGTCTTCTGCAAAGCATTTATTCTAGCACCTAAACACTAAACCGCCTGAAAACAGATTCAACGGCTAACAGTCTGCAGCAGGGCGCGGCTTGCGGGCGTGTTCCTTTGGCCCAGTCCTCACGGAGCCACTGGAAGTCCTGCGGAAAATAAAAGTTTCGTCGCTACTAGCACTATTTATGATTACGTGCTGCTAATGCTATTGCGCTTTGTTACTACCATTGTTGCCACTCAGGGCCTATCGACCAAACCTCTTGCTTGCATGTGCTGTTAGCTTCGGCATTCATCTACCGATGTGTGTGTGGCCTCCTCGATACTTCGTCATGCCAGCACCAACACTATCGTGGCATCACGACAGGACCACCACCGTCACCACCACCAACAACAACAACAGCAGCAGCAGGTCACCACCATCATGTCATCTTCAACTTCCGCATCACGACTATCAACAGCATCAATCACTGGGTGGCCGAGCGGCTAAAGCAGTCGACTTGCATGCGGATGAGGGCTCGACAGGCCCTGATCAACAAACCTCCGCTCCAGTTTACGACAAGATGGCCTGCTAATCGGGGATGTGTATTGTCATACTGCGGCTTTATGGAGTATGGAATCCATCACGGCGAGCTCATGACTCTGCACAAAAAAATCCCCATAAGAAAACAAGCCCGTACACCCGAACCCCTGGACCCCAAACCGCTGAACCCTAACCCCAAAGCCCTAAACCCTATAAACCCTGTAAGCCCTATAGACCCTCTAAGCGCTATAGGCCCTAAAAGCCCTATAAACCCTATAAGCCCTATGGACCCTCTGAGCCCTAAACCCCAAAGCCCTAAACCCTATAAACCCTATAAGCCCTATAGACCCTAGAAACCCCTATAGGCCCTATAAGCCGTATAGAGCCCTGGAAGCCCTAAACCCTTAGAACCCCTACAGTACCCTTATAGAAACCCTATTACAAACCCGTGTAGACCCCTTTAAGGCACCCTTAACGGGAGAGGTACCCACATGGAACCCTTACAGTATTTGTATTCAAACCCTATTAGAAACCCCTATAGATCCCTTTAAGGAGCCCTAAACGGCGACCCGACACCATTGTGATCAGTTAGCCCCTCTATGAGGTTTGTGGCCCACTAAATCCTAAACCCTAAACCCTAGACCCTAAAACCCTAAACCCTAAAACCCTAAACCCTAAATCCTTATGGATCCGTTTAAGGAGCCCTAAACCCTATACCGTGTAAACCCTGATGTCAGCCGTCCTCCTTCGACAAGGTGAGATCTTGCGAGGAGATCTCGAAGTTCCTATGGCTATGGGCCAAAAAAATCGCTTAGGGTTTTAGGGTTTAGGTTTATAGGGTTTTGGGTTATAGGGTTTTGGGTTATAGGGTTATAGGGCTTTAGGGTTTATAGGGTTGTAGGGTTTTAGGATAATAGGATTTTAGGGTTAAGGGTTTTAGGGTTTTAGGGTTTAGGGTTATAGGGTTTTAGGGTTTAGGGTTTATGGATTAATGGGCCAAAAACTCATATAGGATCTTAACTGATCGCAATGGAGTAGGGTCGCCTTTTAGGGCTCCTTAAAGGGATCTGTAAGGGTTTCTAATAGGGTTTGAATACAAGTACTGTAAGGGTTCCGTGTGGGTACCTCTCCCGTTTAGGGTTCCTTAAAGGGGTGTATGCTGTTTCTTTTTAATGCGGATTCTATATGGGTACTGTAAGGGTTCTATATTGGGCTTGAATTTCAACCATCACAATGGAGCTTCTCGGTAAACCCTAAACCCCAAACCAAAACCCTAAACCGTTCTCTTTGTTTAGGGTTCCACAATAAGGGATGTATGACAGGGGTATCAGGTCGGGCTTAGGACCGCCTGGGGGAGCTTCATGATTGGAAAAGGGGTGTTGGGGGATGTTCTCTAGTATAGCTAAAGTTGTGTAGAGTTTAGGGTTTAGGGTGGCTAAAATATTACCGAAGAGCCCTATAATTCCAAAGAGCCCTAGGGACAAGTAGCACTACCGCTTCTGACTCCTGTACTAGGTGCCACACACACACACAGCTTTCTAACAGGCTCCCTGCTCTCAGTTTCAGAACTCTTGGTGCATTCACACTTGGTGGTGGTTGTTGATTATATTTTAAATTAAGAAGATGATTTATGATTTTGTGTGCAAAGGGCGGCTTCATAACGGCCTGAATGGATTTAATCGGAGCTTCGTGAAGGTGTTTTAGGGTTCACCAGAGTCTTCAGAGATTCCACAGACCGGAATCTAGGCCATAGGCAAAAATACTTTCAACTGACATAGGAAAGCAAGCACACTGCGAAGAAGGATCTTCAGACTACGAAGTACCACATCCCTCGCACCCAGGAACTGTAACTGCGGCATGCCACCTTCCAAACAGGCCATGGCCCTCTCAACAGTCCAAACAAGCAGTATCACATCAACCAGACGGAGATCCTTATTATGATGAACGGACATTTGCTGAACTAAACTATCGGTGAAGACCGTCACTGACAGAAAAATCTTCTGAACAGCCCGGCCTGTCATGCATGTTAATTACACATTGACGATGGGTGTGCGGGCTCTTGGTATCAGCAAAGAGAAACTCCAGCGCTGACTTGCGGCTCGCCTTGCACCAGGTTTTAGGCATTATACGGTTTAGGGTTTACCCAGGACTCCAATTACCTACAGTTTTTTGGGTTCTACCCACTAATTGAGGGGTAAGGGCTGCTAAACTGTAGGTAAAGAGAATTCCAGGTAGGGTTTGTCGGGTGATTGTAATTGTAAGATCCAGCTGCTGACAAACAAGTGCATTTAACAAATCCAACGCTGCGACTCCTGTATCCCTTGGTCGTGGCACCTTTGCTATTTAGGGATTCATGCTATAACTTACGGAATTTCATTAATCTTGCCCCAAGGGTCGAAAGGACCCAAAAATTAGGTACTTAGGTTCCTATTTGGGAGAGTATATGATGATTACCTGTAACTCTCTTTACCTACAGTTTAGCAGCCTTGACCCCTTAATTAGCAGGTAGAACCCATAAAACTGTAGGTAATTAGAGTCGCAGGTAGGTACTTGGAATCTTAGGGTTACACAAGGTCCACTCAAACGTAGATCGGGCTGCTTGGGAGTTCGGGGTTCATAAGGGTTCAAATTCATCGCTTTAAGGGAACATGGCACTCCATTTTACATATACGTATACATATACATATATATATGTATGATGGGTGATATATACTTGTAGTGTTTCATATGCATAATTCTATACATGCATGTGCACATACATACATACATACATACATACATACATACACACATACAGACATATATACCTATATATACATATATACATACACACATACACATTTACATATACATACACATACACATATACATATACATATACATAGGCATATGCACATTCATATTCGTACACATATACATATACGTATACATATATACATACATACGTAATAGCGCAGAGCGCTATGATGCATATGGTGGTTTCGACCTGCATCCTGGCCTTTGACGCGCCGCAGATCGCTTGCTTGCACTCCATCAAATGATGAAAGATGTCCCCAAGGCGCCACCTGAAGCGGTTTAGGGAGTAAGGCGTAGACTTCAGGGTTTAGGGTTTAGAGTTTGGGGGGGTAGGGTTTAGGGCTCAGGGTTTTGAGTTTAGGGTTGTGGGGTTTCAAAACCGATGATGGATGCAGTGTTCGATTGTCGGGGGTGGCAGCGTCGCATAGGGCGTTGGATGCTCTTATCGCAGTTCCTTGCCCGTGCCATGACAAGAAACATGTAGCGACGGCTCCAAACCATGGGCCTGTGCATGGAACGTTCCGTTTTTTGCCACCCTAAACCCTAAACCTTACACCCCTAAACCCCTAAACCCTAAACCTCCAAACCCCCAAACCCCTAAACCCCTAAACCCACGCCGGGCCCCGGAATGAGGGGAGCCCAAAATGACGGCTCTTCTTGTCGTAATGTGGGTAGTCTAAATTCGGGTCCCTTTTAGGGGCCTTTATGTAAGGGTGCGGGACTATACTGGGGACCTGAAGAGGGATCCTCATTTAGAGAACTATTCATGGAGGGGCCTTTATGGGAAGAATGAGGGGTCCCAGTGTTGTGTAACTGTACTAACGAACCCTAAGGAAATAAGGTAGTTAAATTTAAATATTCAGGCTTCTACACTACCGTCTCCCTTCCCGGTGCTGCCCCGTCCTCCAGGAAGCCACTGCCAAGCATACGACAAGTTGCCCCCGCCTAAGGCCCGTAACCCGAAACCCAAACACCGCTATGAAGCTCATGAAACAAGTGCCAAACAACAAACAAACCTCTATGAAGCTTTGTATCAAACTCCCCGGTGCCAGGCAACTTAAACCTCCACGCCCTAAACCCTAAACCCTAAACCCTGAGCCCTAAACCTTAAAGCCTGCAGCCCCAAGCCCATCAAAGCCATGCGACCCTACGGGTGCCGCCATGCAAGGAGCCAGAACTTGCCTGGCAAACAAAGTGACAGACACAGGGGTGGCTGTCTAAAACCGGGGGTCCCTTTTAGGGTCCTTATTATAAAGGTGCCGTACTATAGTGGGCACCTAAAAAGGGCCCTAATTTAGAGAACTACTCATAGGATTGGGAAGGGGTCGCCATGGTTCTCCTACACGCGCCTTTTGGGCTGGGTAGGTTTTGATGCAAGGGCTTGTTCCCCATGCCGATTTTTAATCGCTTACCAAGGTAGTCACAAACCATGTTACGGCTTTCATAAGTGCCTCGGGTTTTGAGGGGTGTTGGCGGTTTTGCGCTGTTCTTGTTCGCCATTGTTTTTAAGGATCGACTTACCCTTAAACGATACTCCTACTACTGGTGCTACTGCGACTTGCTACTTCCTGTTCGCTTCCACTCCCTCAACCCTAAGCCCTTATAGTGCTACTGCGACGATACGGCTCAATGCAAGCTTAATTAAGGGCAAGGGTGGGTCTATCTATGAAGTGAAAATCAGACCCCATGGTTTCCACCCTAATTCCAAACAGTCCCAAACCCGAAACCCGAATAGTCGAATCCTCACTGAGTCCAAAGTCCTAAACCCTAAACCTCAATCCGTTAGGGTTTAGGGTTAGGATAACCCTCAACTCTAAACCCCAAACCCCTAAACACTAATCCCTGCTGAGCTGCACCAGCGCTTCGCGCACGAATTCTCTGCAGGCCCCGCGGCGGCCGTTTGGGCCAGGATCTGGCGTTGCCTTGGATCTAGAGCCGCAAAAGCCCCCCATCATCAGTATGATGTCTTAATGCTACGACTACGAGCCTTGTTCTTCTTCTGACATTCAGTCCAAGCCAGAGCAGCAGCAAGACCCTCAAAACCCAACCACGCCTGAACCCCGAAAGCCGTCAACCCCCATAGCTTTATCAATCCCTGAAGCCCCAAGCCCAACGCCCTGATTGCGATTTCTAAAAGCCTTCTTACCCCGCTATACGCTAAACCCTAAACCTTAAACCCTAAACCCCAATCACTAAACCCTAAACCCTAGACCCACTTATGATCCCTCAAGTCCAAGCACCAAAAGCACCCAAACCGTAAACCCTTTAAGCCTTAAAGTCCCACACCCCAAGTCTTGCGAAAGATGCCTAAAAATCCATCAATGAGGTCCGATCTTGGCTTAAAATATACATTCCTCAACCCTCAACCCCTAAACCCCCCGCCTGATCCCCTAAACCCTCAATTCCTAACCGCAATACCCGCAAAAAAAAACTACCCTATACCCTAAAAAAGAATATGCCTTGTAGTTTTCAGCTGCTTGAATCAGCGCCAGCCACTCCCGGCCGTCTAAAAGCGGCTGCCCCTCTTCCTCGATTCAGGATTCCGTGGCTCGGGTTCGGGTTTTGGGGTTTGGGTTTTGGGGTTTAGGGGTTTGGGTTTAGGAGTTTGGG